TATATATATATATATATATATATATATATATATATATGATCAACAGCCTGTGAAATATACAAGCCTGCGTCTTAATTACTTCATTGTGTACAGAATTGATTGTTTACAAGTTTGCCCAACGTATGTTTTTTTGGCGTCCGAAATATCTCCAGGGCCGCTAGAATGAGTCGGCTCTATTGAACTCGATTGGCTATCTGCATTGAAATCAGTATGAGTTGTCAGCCAGTGTCGAATCCTTCAAGGGTGCTCGTAGATGGTGGGTAGCAGTAGGCGATCAGCATCGGCTTCCGCGGCCGATATTCAGTGAGACTTCGGCTAAGTAGCGCGAAGTTGATATCAACAGTTAGGACTGTCAGGATCGCACAACACATACTCGAACTCTCAGGTGTCGTCTTTAGGGGAATTCGAAAAGAGATGTGTTTTGGCGACGCTGTCTGCTTGCTCATCAGAGACTATGAGTCCATCCGACGTTTAAAGTATCCGAAGATACCGGTGTTTGCTTCCCTCTGACCGGGCAGCGAAGTAACGTGGCTCAAAGAGTTAACCCGATGGGACTGACAACTGGTACCTCCTACCTCACGTTATGACCCACCAATAGCTAGTGTCCCGGCACTCATGCAGTCATTGACACTGCTGCATCCGGGTTATCTTCTCCAATGCATAACTTCCCAGTTTCACACTTCGTCAGGCAAGCAGAATGATGTGGCGTCGACTGATCGATTAGGCTAGTCTGTCTTTAGCTCCTCATTTTCCGACTGGACCGATCTAATGCGGCTGGATAAAACGTACTTTTAATATTTGTTTCATGGCGGAACAAATAATGCAAATCGAACCGTCCGAACGAGGCATGCGCTGATATACGAAATATCCAGTTAAATACATATCACATGCACATTACATGCAACACCATCACCTAACTTTCTAGCATCCACAAGGCAATTGTAACATTTATTTCTGCCTACTGGTAAGTAGACGAATCACCTGGTTTTGAATTGACTACCGCAGCTTGCAGTGTTTAGCAGCTGGTTACGCGTATCCTTTGTTGGTGAAAAGTCTTCGAACCAAGTAGCTTGATTCCAAGCGTTTATTTATTCATGTGCGCATATCTTCTACTCGTTTATTGAAAAGGTTTCCACCTCTGTGGTCAGTGTTCACGATGACGGACGATACGAAGTCTGTTGGCGTGATGACGGAAAGTACTTCGTCATCTCCTACCCCGATGCGACTCTAGGGAATCAGAGACGTATTCGGATTTATGCCGAGTCGGGCGAACTGTTTTCCACTTCAAATGCAGTCAGCAATGCTGAACCTGGTCTGTGTTGGCGGTGAGTCACCAATCGTGGCGAATCTCTTGAAGATCGAAACATCTCAGCCTGACCTTGTCCTCGACGCTGAGCGAGGTTATAACCCCACAGTTGCCTGAATGTCTATAGAAATCATCGCACGGTTTCCCATGTATCCCTTCTTATCATACGAACTATAAATTACCATTTTTAAAAAAGAAAATTCTCGATGAAACTACTTATTTGCATACTAAGCTTGTTTTCATGAGACTCTGAATCTCTCGTTTATGATATTCTTCAACTGGATGTGCTGCACCAGGCGCATCATGTTGCAGTTTGTGCAGTGTCCGAGATATCGCAATACGTTGTATAGACGCAGCACACCACTCATTAGTTTACTTTCAAAGAGTTTTCAGCGACCGTATGAGTAATGTATTGCGTCTGTGCGAAGAGTATTCTCATTTTCGCTGCATTCATAGGATTCCTGTTGAAGAAATGATCCCTGGTTTCGCTGCAGTTGTCCATAGGCCTGATGAACCAGTGAAGCCTGTCCTACTGTGTCGATCACTTTAATTTCCTCTTCCGGAATGTCTGCTTTTGAGCGAAATGTCTCGGAAATGGTCAAAATTCAAAGCCTGTTTCTCATTTCTCCAAGTCTGTACAAAATATACTGAACTGTCCACAGACAGTGTACCCATTCTGGTATTGGTCTAAGTAGCCTCGATCACAGTCGATTAGTCTCACACACAACATTAGGTCCCATTGTTGTGGCCTGGGTTGATTTTATGTAGAATACCCCATTTAATTCATGCTTGCGAATTTTGTTCTGGTCTTAGTCATTTATAGCTGGAACAGTCACAGACGTCCTAGTAACAAATGTATGCAATTGTTGTTATTGTCGGTTTGTTATTCGAGGATTACGACGACTGATTCTTTTTCGATTGAAAATGGATATGACGTCAGACTACTTTGTGGAGGTGTTGAATAAACTGCTCATGTCATGGTTCATACAGTCACCGTGCTTTGGGAACATACAAAATTCTTCTGGGTGCTGTCCAGCGCTGTCATGAAGGAGTAGATGTGCCTCTCATTGTCCTTGGCAAAGGTCTTTACAAATTGTTGCCAGTGCTGTCTTTGCTATCTCTTTCTATCTATATTGTCCCGTTGAACGTTTGGAAATGTGGTGATCCCCGATTATGGTGGTAGACTAGCAGTAAATTCTTTTAATCGCCCAGTTTTATTCGTTTCCTTGTTGCGTTTTTTTATCACAATGTGTTGAGATCGTTTCGTGGATGTTTTGCCTTGGTGTCTTAACCATAGACTGTTATTGATCGATTGATTCCATTCATTCGGAAAACTATGACAGATTGATCACCTGTGTTAGAGCGCAAATTTACTAACCAGTCGGTCTGTGATTCGACTTCGACCTCAGCTTCTCGACTTGCTAGGCTTGGGCAACCTGGCAGCATCCCAGACCTTGAGCTCCCTTCTGGTGGCATGGCAGTTAGGCACCGAAAGTGTGCCACAGCTGAACGACTTCAACGCATTTCAGTGAGGCTGCCTTTGCTGCCAAACCTGATGCTAGATATGTCGTGAGACTGCATCTTGTCTTTTTCACGTATAGCTGTTTCACACGAAACCAAATAATTCAATGCAATTATCCACTGGGGACATCACTTTCACTTGGCACTCCCTTCTAAAGGAGTCTTTCTGGTCGTATATTCGAAATGGTCTCTCCATTGTGAGATAGATATGAAAACACCGGATTCTCTGTGATGTAGCTGAATTGTTCATTTCCGGGGTGTGTAGTGATTTTGCAACGATTAAAGTTTTTCTCAATTCTCATAGCCAGTTTTCAGACAGTTTTTCGACGACAGAAATATATTATTTGGCTTATTGATTTACTGGCTTCCGAGAAGGATCTATCGGTAAAATGTAGTGAAAACAGGTATACCTGCTGGGAAAACTGTAATTGCTCGCACCTCTGTTACGGACTTAAATTCAAGGAGGACATGCAGAGGAGTACAGACCCGTTGAGCTCCAACGGCTGACCTTATCATGATGACGTAACAATGAGCACTGGTATCAGTTCCGTCACCTCAATGAGCCCTCGTCATGTGTCAATCCCTCAAATCAAATATTCTAGAGGGCTACTCACTCGGCGGGGACGCTAATTAGGTGGTGAGCTGGTTATCGGTTTGCAGTATAGTAATCTAACATGGATTATGATTTGAAGTAGCAGTAATTTCTCACCAGACAGCATACTGGTTCTCACTTGGTGATTCAGGACGATCAATTAGTCGTTGGTGGTGGATTCAATTCAGATATTCACTTAGCCGAGGTGGTTTTCAGAACGACCTGCCACCTTCGGAACCACAAAAGGCTTCCCAACAAACGATAACTAGGTTGAACAGAATGGTGAGCCAGAACACAACCTTCTTCTGTAGGTATGCATTGGGATCTTCATGTCAGAATGAAAGGATTTGATGGTGCTTACATTTTCTTCCGAGTGAGTGAGCCCTCATGTAATAATCCACAGTACGTCACTGTTTGGTGAGTAAAAGGTTTTTTTGAAATCCGCGACTAGGCCAGGTAGTGTTGCTTATCTCTGTATCCTACGAAATCAGTAGTTTTTCAGCATCCCAGTTCTGCCAAGTTGGACTCATGGTCTCCAAACCAACGTAAATTCCCCTGTCTGTGTAATTCAACTTTTGTTTTGGCTGCACTGTCAAAGCAATAGTAACATGTATTAGCAATATTAATTTTGTTTTTTTTTGTGCTAGGTGTTGTCAACTAGCTCGTCTGACGATAGATATTGCTTTTTTCAGCCCCAGAGTTCAACTGATCACCACGATACAAAGGCGACCGGGTCGTGGTCTGGATGTGATTTTTTTCGAGACCAATGCTGAACGACACGGGGAATTCGAGTTGCTCAATGCTTCACAAGAGTCATTGTTTTGTGTGAAGCAGATCAGCTTCGACGAACAAGGTTATATTTTGGCGGCTCTGTGCACTATACTTCAGCCCGGTGGTCAATCGGCTTTCAGTGGGTTCATTTCTGCCAGTGCTTGGCTGAATTCTATGTTCGATGGGATAGATGAGTTATCGGCTGCACTTTGAATTGTTTTTCGCTTTCCTTATCTGCTTGGAAACTCCACGGGAGTTGCGTTTTCTCCAATCGACCCAAAATCCCTAGCTCTTATTGGATGAAGAAAATAATTCACTTTACTATTCGTTAAGGGCATCATAAGTGATAATTCCGTGTTTGTCTGGCGTTTTATGATCACCACCATTCTGGCTCGCCCACTGCACATTTTTGTGGCACGGATTTTCCATGTTGCAATCTCCATTTTAGGGAGCAATTATTCTTGACCACACAGGAGGCATTTTTTGGTATCTCACTCCAACTAAAGCGGAAACTCTATGAGGCGGCATGGCCGACATGCTGATTACCCACTTGTGCTGCCGCTTGGTGCATACATTGTAACATACTTCAAACGCACTCCATGGTCGTACTACTGATTGAATATAGTTGAGCTGGTCAGTCAGTCCAAAATAAGACGGTTTTGTGTGTATTCACTTGATAGTTTGTGATTTTCGATACAAAATGCTCCCGTTGGCTAATGGCTCTCTCTCCAGTACGACAGCCAGGGTGAGCAGGTCATTCGTTAGCTTTAGGATACTCGTCCCTCCACGACGTGACCAACTTTAACAAGCGTTCAGGGGAAGCACTTGTCGGAATACGTCGTGCACCGTTGCCGTCTTTCGGAGGTTTTAAGTCTAACTGAGTGACCATGAAAATACTAGCTACTGATTGCTACTATGTGAGTACACTCTCACTATGCTGATTCAGTCTCATTCCTCACTTGCAGGTGCACCGCGAACGTTGGACCCAGCTGTTAAAAACATCCATATATGATTGAATTTCTTTTAGCCAGGAATTGAAGACATCGGATGACTGCTTTCATAAGGAAACACCGTCGTTCTGGAAACGTATATTTTTCTGTGCGTGAATGGGTTAGTGTAGTTGATCTACCACTCCTCTCAACTTCTGAATGGAAGTATATACAGAATTGTTCGGAACCGTTGAGACCAGCGATGAATGTGATGCGCTCTTGCGTCCACCTGGCGGGTCTCGCCTGAATGGAAAGTGTAGTGAAATGCTTTTCGTGGCTGATGAAGTCCTGCCCTGTAATCGCCAGGGGCCTATGTTTTCCGGAAATGACGAGAATTTTCAGCTAGCTGTAAGAACGAGGAACATTTGGATGGAATAATAACGGTTCAGAAGCATTCAGTACCGTCTAATTTGAGAGAAAATCCGAATGAGGTTGTAAGATCTGGGGTGCTTCGCTTGTCCTGCAGAAGCGATGGTAATAGCGGTACCTCTTAGTCCACGCCTCTCTATGTCAATAACACAACACATAGCATATTCCTCTCTTGAATGGGTGGGTCAGTGATCGTACAGCGACGGTTCTATCGCATAAGTTGATGAGTGACAAAGTGACAGCGAACAGTCGAAGTGGGGTATAGTGGTCTGTAGGGAAGCAGTCGGGAAACTAACAAACTACAAGGGGATTAGGAGCTTACCGTTAAAAAACTGACGCGGTAGCTGCTGTAGGCCGAAAATGCATAGCAGCAGAAAGACTAGCAGCGGTTGGCCGGGCGCCGCATCGGCTGCATCGTACGCCTCTTTCGAAAGGAATCAACAGAGGGTCTTATTAAAAGCTGATCGATGTCGTCCATGACTACTAAGTATTCATTTCTTTCGTCTGATCTGAGACAGTTGTACGGCTCCGCAAGGTAACAGCAAGATACAGACTGTTATTCCTCGTGAAACACGGCAACATAGAGAATGCGTCCGCGCTTGCCTGTTTCTTCCCGAAATCAAAATACCGAAACACTACCAATTCAACGACAGTTATGATGGGCTTTTGGTTAACTGGGTATGAAGTGACTCAAAACTTTCTTGCCGATTGTTGTTGGCATACAAGGAATAGCCTAAGGAAAGCAAAAGCGCACAGTCCTTTAGTGAACGATACGAAGCGCCCATTTTGTTAATATTCAGCTCCCCAAAACAAGATGCTTTACTGCGAGAAAAAATTTCAGCATGGAAAACATCTTTGAACCCACATCTTCGAACACCTTTGTCCCAAATGGGTCAAATTTATTGACAGTGTTCTCCTTGGCTTAAACAGCAAGTTACCACTTTGCAGACGCCACGAGCACATGTGAGGACTACTGCGTGTTAGCCTGTGAACTTGAAATCGACCGAATTCCCCGCTATCTAACTAATTGGTTCCACTTGGAGTGAAGTGCGTAGTGGATCATCATTGCAGCGCTAATTACTTGCACTTCATGCTCATCACTTGTAATTCACATGGGTTCGTAATTATTAAATCTTCCGTGAGGATTTTGAATACTAGGAAGTGCCCATTCGGCCGCTCCCATTTGATCAGATTTCCGTACTTTTTCATCCCATGATTTGAACAAAGAAATCACCCCGTTATTTTAGGTTTCTGCTGTCGTCTGTTTTTTTCAAGATGAAGGCTTGATTTTCGCTTACTGGTCTGAAATGTTCCTGCCCGTAAGCTTGACCATCGTTTCGCAGTATGGTGGTGATTTCCTCTTCAGGCCTAGAGCTGCGTTCATCGTTCACTGCACTTTATAGTTCTCCATCAGTAAAACTGGAGCCGTCCTCCTTTCCCTTTCTTTTGACCTTTTTATCCATGGGATGCCTACTCTGTATTGTCTCCCAATATTTCCTCCTCCTTAATCGGTCCTCACCTCATCTCACAGTTCGCCTGATCACCTGCTCAAATTATCAATGGTCCATCAAACGAGAACTGCATTTTGGTCAATTGGTTCTAGGTGCTGACCCCCATCTGCCTGTGACATTTACCTGGGGCAGCGTCGCCTCTCACAATGGCTTATTTACTCTTTACGTCGCCGCACCAGCCGTCAGTGTTCCTTCTGAAAGTGATAGTTCAACAAAAGGTCTGCTTGGGACAATGGTGCGCTCTTGGGGTTTTTGTCCGATGTACGATCGAGAATACTGTCTTGCGGGACAACCATGTAGCCGCGTAGCTTCCACTAACCCTGTTTCGGGGATCGTGTGTGTTGTGGATAACGGTGAGTTTCTTTCGTTCGGTATTCTGACAGATTTCAAGCGGGTGGTCTTGGCTTTCATTGAGACCTAAAGACAGTTGAATGAATTTAATCCCTTTTAAAACCTTGTTTCCGAATAAATTTCCAATGCTTTCCAATGCATTCGGGTGAACCGGTTTTATCTGCCGATGTGATTGCTCGGGTAGTGAAGGACAGACTGTAATTGACTAGCTTTGATTACTATCTGCCTTGACCAGGTTTTCTACGAATTTCTCGGGGCAGCATTCTGGGTGTGAACGATAACTTTTGTGTTTAGTCACATCGCCTAAGAAATTGCATTTATTTTCAGCCTCTAGCTCACCATGCGCTTTGCTTAGATACTTGATGCCGTCCCTTTTTATCCTGTTTTCGCGTCTTCGTGCACTTCAGAACAGCGACTGACTGGTAACCAGATGGTCCGTATTGCTGTTGTGGTGGATAGAGATGGGGAAGGTAGGAAGTTGAGGTGACCGCAGTAATGAGCGAGAATTCAAAACGAGTAGAGACGGATAGCAGACTAAAATCCGAAACTCACTGGGCTAGGTAAATCATCTTGTTCTTGTGTGTTCTTTCATATCACCTTGTTGGAAAGTGTCTCTGTTTATTGGCTGACTCCCGATCTTTCCAAAACGTACATTCGTGGATGTCATAGTTCGGGGTCTTGTCATCAGTTAACTACCACTTCCTCGTTTACACTCAAATCAAAACGTTACAGATGACACTCGATACGGCATCTGCTCTTTTTTTGCGAAGAAATGGCAGTTGAGACTGACGTCTTAGTGTAGATCATAGTAATCATTTATCCCCGCTCATTAGCTATATTTCAGCTTTCCCTTCGCATGATTCATTGTTACTCGGTTTTTCAGCGCGTTTTTTGTTTTGCAGTGAATTATTCATTCCCGAGCTCAAAATCCCATACTAGCCAGTGACTGGTATGTTTTTGGTGGTGAGAATATTCAGTGTTTCGGTTGAGATTGTATCCTCTAAGTCAAGTTACTGGGAGCTGAAAAACTGAGAAGCACTGTAGAACTGCTTCACTGTTGTTCTAATTCACAAATATGACATATCTGACAGGTTCCCAGGAGATTCGAATTCATAACAATCCGGTAGTTATTCAAAGGTCATGTAATTCGTCACGAGCTACTGATCATGAAGGATGTAATGCCATCATGCTTGAAATTATATGTTTTCATACACTCCTCCACACTGGACTACTTACATCCCTCTTTGAACACAGCATATCTATATTTTGCGAAATAACCTAAGTGCGATACACAAAGATCACCTCCTGTTCCAGTTGGTTCTCCAACTTAACTGGCACATGAGTGGTGAATTGCTTACACCTTCCGTTCAAGTAAAACAAATGGGTTGACAAAAACTCGAGAACTGCGCCTACCTGATGGCCCCCAAGAAGGCGAAACCGGCCAGTGGCTTTCAGCAACCCTATCAGCAGTGTTCTGTCAAGGAAATATAGTCATCATGTTTTCGGCAGTCTCCATTTTTTCTCACCGTCTGTACACAGATACAGCTGCATTTTGTCTCTAACTTTTGCTATGTTGTATCCATATAGACTGTGTCAAGGTGACACCCATGGCACATTCGATCATCCCTCCGCCAATGTGTTCCACAAAAATGGTCCTCAAAAGCCGCTCGCTCACAGGTGAATATCAGCCGAATCGTATCACTTCTATTTCATTCCCTGGATCTTGGATTACCCGATCTCCGGATTCAGTGCATTCCCCTATGATTGTTCAGTTTGAATCGCATTCAAAAGAACTTTTCACTCGTTTGCACCTTATTGATCTGGAGCTCGGTGCATGCAACCACAGATGTCAAACTTTCGAGGACGGTGAAGATGGTGTCGATGTACAATTGGTAACTGGTTCGCAGAACGTGGCTCCATGGCCGAAACGGGTTCGTACGATTGCGTAAGTCTTCGGCCTTTACAGGATGGTCACACCATCATTTCATCATGCCTTTTAGGTGGACACTTATGCTCACTGTGGTTTCTTATCGAATTATCTTCATAGGTATCATGAAGTTGATTACATCTCTTTTCCTGTCGGCCGGTCTGCACTGTCCCCGCAATAAAATCCTCAGTATGGGACACCCGGAGTACCCGTTAGTACATTATGTCTCTTCTAAATGCCCCTTGTGTACCCAAGATCTACCAATATTTTTATCCCAAGTTGCGAGGCAGGGAAAGCGTTTTCCATAGAAGTCTCAAGCTTGTGGATGAGCTGTTATATTGGGTCATACGTTCATAGCGGAATGCATTGCGTATGAACGTATGACCACCAAGGTTATCACGTCACATGTTACTTCACGTCACTTCATCTTCGTCCAACTATACACAGGGGTTGCCAGAAACGCCCATTCTAATTTTGAACACACGATTTCACGTCACCTTAAGTCAGTTACTGGTACTTTCAGCTAGTCCGAAGGACAAAAATGAGGTACTAAGGAGATATACTGCAGATGCCTGTGTGAGTCAGTCAGCTTACGCAGAGTACGTTAAACCGAAACTCGCAAATGACGTGTCCGCTAATAAAGTATGTTGACTTAAGAATATTATCAACAAGAAATCCAGCTGAGTCTCCCGTTAAAACCAAATTGATGCTCAAATAGGTGTATTTCGTCATGTTGACTCATTTTCTAGACGTGTGTACGTATAGGGTGTCAAGGTGATGGCAAGTGATGATAAATCTCCATATACGACTACCGAATAATATCTGCCGGAGACAAACTAGATCGGTTTGCACCTGATTGATGTTCATCCCGTGGGCAGTCTACAGTTTATCGTCAAAATAACTGTGTGCCAGCTTTATGTATGTGATTCATTTGCCTCCAAGTTCATGAAGCGCGTGATATTAACTGAAAAATGTCCACCACATGCGCATGAATCATCCTTGTAGACAGGCATTTTGACATCATAAAACCACGTTTTACACTCACTGTTCAGAGGTCCCTCACTCGGAAATCTTACTGTATTTTTCTCTGTTGCAGTGGCTAGTGTACTGTGGCCTAAATAGTGTCAATCGGATTCATCCTGAACAAACAAATTTTTGATATTTAGCTGCTTACTGCTTAGCTGGTTACTACCAACTCGAAAGTAAATTGTTTTTCGAAATCACCCGGAAAATTTCCGTTGTGTATCGTTGGCGCACATGTGTGCTGTTGGATTCTGAACCTTCAGAGCTCTAGTTCAATTCTATCGCCGTCCAATTGTTGTTGAGAGTTGTTTCTTCGTGCACGAAGCAGACATTTGGTACGTACAATGAGTTCACAGGCAATACCCTTATCAGTTTTCATTGCAAGAGCAGTACTTCTAAATTGTTATAGAACATTCGTCAGCCGTGAAAATGCACTTCGAAACTGATCACTGTCTGATTCGGTGTCCTTAGCTGAATCCTAGTTTATCAGGGTTTCGCTAGTAAGTTTTTCCTCTAGCTTAAGTTGTTTTTCTTTTCGACGGAGAAGGTTAATCGGACTAACTGCACTTTCCTTATACGATGTTTCCTTTATTGCATATGGCGAACCTCAGTGTTTTTAAGGCGAGTTGACTTGCTGACCAAGTTGTTCATTTTTTTGTTTGTCGAAATTGCTAGCATTTCGAAGATAGTCAGTTCAATGAGTCTCACCGAACAGCCTGTGCTTGATGTACTCACACTGGCAAATCAGTTACAGCCTTGTGGCGGGAATGAACTAAATCACCTCACTTGGGTTGATCGTACACATGTGGCTTTCATCGCTTGTAATGGCTTCTTGGTTGGCCTTTTGGATCTTGAAGATGCGACTTCGACTGGCACGAGGTGAGTCACATACATGTCATATAAATCCCTGCCAGATCATTAGCTATCATGCTTTGTTCGGCGAACTGGTGACCCTTAGCAACCAACTTGGTAGCTGTTCATATTCGCGTCCCGTAATCTGTCATCGTGAAGCGCAGTATCTTAGTTGTGCGTACCAACACAAATTGATTTTAAATTCACTAAATAAATAGGTTGTTGATATCTGTTAAGCATTTGAGTATCCTAGAGTGGACGAGCGAGTGCAATGTGCCGGCGTACTCCTTGAACCACTAATTACACGTTCTCATAAATACTCTCTGTATTCGTTCCTTGTGGTACACAGACGTACACAACTGGATAAGGCTAATATGTATACACATTTATAGGATAGGCTGGAATCCGGTTCCATGTTGAGTTGTTATGTCGAACTACGCCGATGAAAACCCCGCAATGCTGAACCGCGCTGATCCGTGTTTACATCCGCCTGCACGCCCTGTACCAGTGTAAGCCCGAAGGAATAAGACTGAAGGGTGAAGGGTGGAGCAGTTCTAAAGCCACCAGAATGCGCAGTTAGTGGTCCATAGTTGTCGATTTAGGTGTGTATAGTTGAAGTGCATGCAAAGAGACATCCAGTGGACCATACCACTTAAGAGACGCATCCTGGGCACATATATCGCTCTTAGGTGGTGAGCAGTGATGGTCACAGTCGTGTCTAGCACCGCTGTAGGCTTGGCAGTACTAATGTTTAGAGTGCTTGCAGATGGACAAACGACATACAAACAAATGGAGGAGAGCTAGAGACATTCAAAGAAGTACAGCGTAGCGTAGTACAATATGGTATATAGGGCGAATTGGAGGTAACAATCGAAAGACAAGCAACCACACCAGGGCCTCTCTCAGGAGAAATATTTGACTAGGGCGTTGGGCACAAGCAAATAGTTCGTGTCCACAGCGTGTGCCTGGTGGTCCACCCTACACACGAGACACACCATTGGCCAGGTTGGCTTTAACACCTCATGTATGTGCCATTTCTTTCTGTGACATGAAGTAGCTGACCAAAGGTGATTGGATCCGTGAATTTTCGTGTGGCTCACACTCAACTCACCCAAACGTGTCATGTATCCCACTCTTGTTGTTGTGGAAGCTACTGCACTAGCTAGTGGCCGAAACCGTGGACGAGTATACCAAAATGTTTTTCTAGCAACGGTTGTTTCAGCTTACTTAAACGTGTTGTCCGCTCAGCAACATTGCTTTTATTGTATGCATAAAATTTCCCCACTATCTTTCTCTTGGTCCAAAATCCTTCTCGGATTGACGTGCTTGCATCGATGCACCGCTTACACAGGGAATGAACAGAACAGATCACCGTTCAAACTGCCACCGGACCAAACGTGCACATAAAGCTAGGAGGCTTGTACTTGCTTGTTACTTTTGGATATTTTTTTGCTAAGGCGGCGCATTATTTGCGTCACCATTCACGCCTGAAGTTGTTGGCCGCAATCAACCTCTATGGTAACGATTGTTATTGTGCGTACACTCAATTTTGTGGCAGATTATGCAAATTTGCTCTTGGAATCTGCCATGGCACAATCCATGGGTCTACGGTTCACGTAGTTGTAAGAGCCCATTCCCAGTTTGACGACATGATGATACGAGAGGCATAGTAGGGAAGTGAGAAACTTTACTCCGCTCATAAAGTTGTTGAAAACTCTGTGACAGCTCAACTTATAGGGATCCAGGTGGGTGGAGTGGGTTTCGTCTAGACACTTTTCTGTGATATTTCGAATGCCATACTACTAGAAGCATGAAGTGCCTTATGCGGCACAGTTGAAGAGCATCGTAAACTAGCGATTCAGTGAGATTCAATTGTTTATTTTGAAAACGAAATTAATGTGTTACTGAGTGTATTTCGCGAATTGCATCCAAGTAGAACGTAAGGTACGTTAGTTGACTGTTGGTTTGTGCACCGATGTTGGCTATTTTAAATTAAAAGACTATCGTGTCTCCAATCTGTAGCAATGATCAAGCTGACATAGTGGTTCCCAATTTTGGCTTCTAACACGTCTGTAACTAGCGCTCTCCTTACTATTAATCATCGTCGTTTTCAGTGACTTTTCTATGGTGCTTTACCCATTTAGTCAGACTCTTGTGCGTTCATCGTGCAACACTCTCATCCAGAAGTTGATTGTTTGATTTAACGACTGTTGCTTCAGTTGAAAACTGCACGTGTTGTCTGTCTGTATTGGAAAAAGATGAAGCTGGATGCCGGATCCGATAGACGAATAATGTTCATCGCGTTATGTGGAGGAATCACGCCAACGTGGTTCCCCGAGCCAGTATTTTTCTCTGGAGGGACAAGTGCCTCTTTGATTTCGGCGCGCAATGAGACCTTGGTCATTTGGACTTTGGCTTCTACTAGCTATCTGTCAGTTTTGACACGTTAACCTCGCCTACGGCGCACCAGGATTTCGTTAGACCCATTATTGCAACCTCTCAGTGAAGAGATGGAGAGTCGTTGCTTGTTCTGCGAATCAGTTGGTGCACAAAACAGTTGGTACGCAGTTGTCACCCTCGAACGATACCGGTTGTACGGCCCAGTCATACAAGTTGCCGGGTCAGGCTTTTCCTCTGCACAACCTTAGCTGTGGCATGGCAAATAGGGTGGTGAAGGGTATTTAGTGGTTTTAATGATCTTCCCTGTTACCACACACACTGTCTAACACCACAGTTTCGCCCTGTGCGGCTAGTAGGCTACTTGTCCTTTGGTAATACGACGGAATTAGTTAGGCTGTTATGAATTTGTGATACAGCCGAAGTGCTGTGCTCGTTAGGAACTTGGTTTTACTTGAACTGGTTACCTGCCACGTATTAGATAGTTCTTGGTCAACAGGTGACCAATATTCTCTTTTTGACTGATATCAACCATGAAACTTCTAGTCGCTTTTGGTCTCTATGCTTTTCCACTCAATTTATCCAGGTGGCTCTTGTATGCGGAATCGTCTTCTAAAGGTTCATCCCGCTTTTGCGGACTTTGTTGGGCTCCCAACGGATATTTATGTGTACAGTTGAGCAGTGGACACGTTATTGTGTACATTTTCGAGGAATTGTTACGTAAGTGTCTGGTTTGTTTGTACTATATGTGCAGCAAATTAAAGACTAGGTTTTAACTTACCAGTTTTTACATATTTCCATCATATGACGACAAATCTCTGTTTACCGCAGGTTCGAAAGTGTGCTCAGTTGTCTTGAACGTCTTACAGGACAATCCAAATATAGGGTCTCTTTCATCCGCTGGTTCGGCAAAAATTCATTGCGTCCTAAAATTCCCGGTCATCTGTGGTCAACTTACTATCGCCAGTTTCACAACAGCCGACCGTCAACGTGGTGCGTTGTCTGCAGCACCTAAAGCTTCCTCCCTCGTACCGTACCGTTCATTTCTCCTTGGGCTTCATGAGTCCTCCCATCGTTTGTACGGCGCGCCCATCCCCACTGATCAAACGGTAGATCAAAATGGAGATCCAGCTGCGCACTCCAAATCAGTCAGTTTGTTGATGGACTTGTGCTCCTCTTTCATGGTGCTACCGAACTTCTTACTCGTCACTAGTATGCGAAAACTGCTTATCTGCATTCCAACACAGTTTGATGCGGTCACATTCGCCTCACCGGAATCTTGTCAAATAGGTACGTGGTCAGTGTACTCCTTCATTTTTAATACTGAAACTTGAGGGGAAAATTGTACCAGTTGTTCTTCTGTGACTAATGTGTCTAAACTGAGCTTAGCTGTCGAAAAGATATCCCCAACAAACTCAACCGATCATGAGAGTACGTAATGACCTCAGAATATTAAAAAAAATCAAATTAATGAAGCTAATGAATGGAATTGGAGCTCGAACCCAATCCACTCCACACTAAATCAGGCTTACTTATAATATGGAGCACTGGATAAACACTAGTAGAATACATCTCCAGTCATATATATAGGTCGTCAGAACCATTTTACGGTCTCGTGCGCGTCCTTACTACATGTGAACCAAGTCACCAACCTAACTGCGGTCATTTCTGACAGCAACACATTCTACCAGCGTTGCGTGTCAACTGGTTGTTGGTCGGGTGGCTGTTGATCTGTTTGCCGAGCTTGGCAATTGACCTGAAAACGTTTCGTCATCATATGAGGAGACCTCATCAGTGCGTAGTTGGGTGGGTACCTCCCGTTTGCCTGCGTGCGTTTATATAGCATTTAAAGGCTATCTGTTATCTCCTAGCATGATTGGCTAGTTAGTTGACAGCGTTTTTTGTGAATTTGTTGTTCCGTTCGTGATCTTTGCTGCTTTGTGGTTTGCGTTCCTTCAAGTCGGTTGGTCATCCAAATGTTATGTCATTTGGTAGAACATTTCAAACTCTTTCGAACTGCACCAGTGAAAGTCGACTACAGTTTCCCCCTGTACTGATAAAACCTGGCCGCAGATTGTAGATAAACATTACGAACACCCCCGGTATCGTTTGATTTTTTTTAATCCGAACTTTCTAATTCTGTGAATCATCGGAGAATTCTCCAAGAATGAATTTCGGTTGAAAATTTCGAGCCTTTACTTCTGGTCGTTGTTGTCAAATAATTCTGCAAAGTAGCTAACAAACATAGCAATTTTTCGAAAGGGTTTAAAGCGCTGTATGCAACAAAATACAAATCTGCCTGATCAGGACAGGACGGCTCACTTGGCTTGCGAACCAAACATGTACTCACATAATCGAACCGAGAGTATGTTTCTCAATCTTTATCCCTTGGCATCACCACGCGCAACACCCGAGCACCGAAATCACACAAAATCACCTGAGTAACACTTTTAGTAAAGTGCGCGTTTATTGCAATCCGACGAATGCCATCGTTTCACCCATTGATATTAACAAAATTTCACTGCAAAGAGCCACAGTAAAATGTCGATAGTTCTGGACTGACTCTTCTGCGATTTGCTGCTATTCTTGTGGTCTATTTTGCTTCTCTATTGAGAAGATCCCCACAGTGATTATGCGTCTCCTGCTTTTATCAGGTAACACAATCAGCCATTCAGCATGGATAGAGGTTTTTACACTTGCTGAACTCTGACTCAAGTAAACAGTGAGTTAGAAAGTTGGATAGCGCCAAGTCTTGGTATAAAGCGTTATAGTGACGATATAGTCGGGTTTTGAAAATCCCAGCAATTTGAGATCCTTTGTCTTCAATCAAACTTAGATGGATGTATTGGGGCATGACTCTGGTTAGTTTCCGCACATTGTTAACTGTACAACGTCTAACTGGATATAAGAAAATCCGAAATTTTACCAGATCGATTTTCAAAGCTACAAGTTAAGCATGTAACCTGCTCCGTGGTTAATGCACACAAAAATTGGTGGGTAGCAATCAGTTATGTCCACTGATAGCCACACACTTGTGTCTTTGTTTCGCGGAGAGATTGTGGTGTAAAACTAATGAATTATATCTACGATACACGTTATTATCTATAATGGTGGGTTCATCGCTCTCAGCTATTAGGCAAGATATTATCAGCAAGTACCGGTAGTGCTAACAGCTTGGTCCCCCTATGACCTATTTATCATTCTTTTCAGAACTTATTGCGCGGTTGACGATTCCTACGGAACTATACTCTACAGGACAAGGTGCCTCCAAAAACTGGTACAATGACTATCTACACCCAATAGAAACGGGTGCTGTTTTAGTGACTGCAGTCCCTACCGGCACTGCCGTTGTACTTCAGATGCCTCGTGGAAATTTGGAACAGGTTCACCCTCGGGCGCTGGTGCTTACCCATCTGGCAGACTTATTGAACAGGTGAATGCGGATTCCTATGTCACTATGATGTACCCAGTGATTCCACTCTAAGGAGAGCACTCACAGGATAGACCAAAATCGTTCACATATACGGGAATTGTCTCCCGAATGGAGCGATTTTTTTTACTGTAAATAACTTCCTGCAACTCTCAACAGTGTGCACGGTTTCCTATCGCTATATCACCGCAAAATTGAGGTTGACGAAAAAGCATACCTTAGCTGGAGAACCACAGCTACAGGAATTTACCGTAGACTCGCTCATAAACTCGATATCTTTGCGAATCCTAAATGACTGACATTACTGAAGCTGGCATTTGGCGAAGTGCCGAATGGGAAGCGAGCAGACTAGGATTCGAAACCTCACTTCTGAGCCTACGCAGTAGTTGTAATGTTTTCTTTAAATATTAGTGGACAGTCTATAGGAAACTACATATTCCGGGGCGGACGCAAATAGAAAAAGGAGACTAGAATATGATGTAGCCATTCATACTACTACTTGGATGGGTAAAAATGGGAATACATACTGCTAATATGCAACTCCAGTTACATTCCTGGAGAACACGGAGCCCTTCTCCCCACCGTATATGTTAAGTTCAGCCCTCACAATATAAAGAGTTCCTGGTAGTCCACCGCCAGAGGACACCCGATTTAGGTACCAGAATGCATTAGCCAGCAGTCACCCGTAGACAGCCCACCAGACAGAGCCCAGTGCAGGTGGTCGCCCATGGAAAACACGAGATCGCGTTAGCAACAGCGGCCATAAAAAGCACACCGTAGACGAGTCTGGTTGTGCGAAAATACTCCTAATGTGTGTCGCAACCAAGCACATAAACTGCTATCTACATTCCATTGCTTATGCAACGCTTGTAACGCTCCATATCAGTAAAAAGGCTAACTTAGTGTTTGTAAAGGTAACGGAGCTCGTCATATCAAAACATCTGGATGAAGTGAAATCAAACTTCTACACGGTTTTCTGAGGACAGAATGGGGGATGTTTTCAAAACACAGTCAAGCCTTGGCTTAAACTTACTGCGTCTGGACTAGGTTGGTTCAACTTGATAAGGATAGGTTAAATGCAGGCCACTTCCCATTCACTAGTGATTATTGGCTGTAACTTATCGGGGGTTCTGAAGTTGTCATTCATATTTAGCTAGTTGAAAATACGGTTATTCTGGTGCAGTAAGCAATGAGAACCGTCAACCTTTAATCGATTGTGCTCAAGAACGGTCAGTAACGTGTAAAGTTCGAACGTGAGTGAAGCAAATTTCCTACCACCCTTCTAATAGGCAGCTAATCCCAGTCCTCCTCCGAGCTTCACCGTTCGTCTAGACTGCGTGTGCTTGCTTTTCGTATCTTCAAGACATTATCAGTGTTTGAACAATGTGACTAACCAACCCCACCCATAGTATGCCTTATTTGCTTAAATTGCCCTTGGGTGGAGCTGTTCCTCGAACAAAATCTCCCCCCTGATAGAGTCGTAAAATGACGCACAATCACCCTGAGAAATTTAGCCTCTGTGTTCTTCGTGTGGATATACTGTCTCAATAGAGTAGAATTTCACCAGAAAGTCCAACTACACATCACCAATCTTTTTATTGGTGATTCGAACAGCCCACATTTAAATTTGTTGCGTGGTCCTCTCTCAGTTCCCTGAGGTCGGTGTATGCGCATGTGTGAATGTGGGAGAGAAACAGAGAAATTCAAGCTCTCAACTTGTTTGTGACGTATGGAAGACTTCACATTCATGACCAGATGAACGATGGAGTATGTGCTAATCTTTCTATCACATGGTTTAGCAACAATGAATTTAAGTTTTTGCCTCACTGCAGCGAGAATCCAGCCGAATTTCCTGAGCCGAATCTATTCACTCTGGCGGAACCTACATGGAAACCGTGGACCCGGTACATTAAAATTGTTATAATTCGTCTTATTTGTGGAGATAGTTCAGACTGCGTGAAAGATTATAGTTGGTTTGGTTAACAAATCTGTCGTTTTACATATTGTACTTATATATTAATTGATCGAACGGATCTCACCTGATATAGTCTTCCAAAAATGTCTTTCGTAGCTGGAACCTGAAATTATTCACCTTTTACTCCATTCCACTGCAATTTTCTCCCATCATTCAGCCAACCATCTCTCGTTGATCATATTACTTTATTTCCCATTTGAAGTGGCAACTACACAGAAGCCTTGTTACTCATGCGCCGTCATCGCGTAAATATGAACTTGTTGCATGACCACAATCCGTCGACCTTCAGGAAAAATATCGGAATTCTGTTACAACAAGTCGAGGACCCAGAACTTCTTACTTTGTTCATTTCGGACCTCCTGTGAGTCGTTTTTTTGGTCCGTGTAGCCCAGATGCGTCATCCCATGATGTGTTTTATGTGGCTTTCATTGCTATATTACGTCTTGCTTCATTAGAGAGGAAGATGTTTCAGAGACAATGTATGGAACCTTCTATGGAATCGCAAGCGCTCAACTGTATCGCGATGCTTCCGTGAAACAATCGTTGCCATCACTCCGCCTCCGGTCACCAAAGGGCGACTCCAAACTGAATGGGATATGCGATCTGTTGTTGGCACACATAACAAAGGACAAGCGGTTCGTACATGCCTATGTGTCTTCTGGCCAACTGTTAGTTAACTTTTTTTACCGTGAGTTACAAATCCCCCCATCTGCGTTTCATCCTCCTCCAGTTTTCTGCTACCTACGTTGACCTGCTACGCGAAGAAAAAGCCAGCTGAATTGGACACAGCTCTGTTACTGCTGAAGAATTATTACGGTGAGTCATTTCTTGGCTGTTTATTCCTCCTCTAAGACAATGCGTACCAATTGTGGAATGAATCCTCCAATTTTCAAGGCCGTTTTTAAGCACAGCAATTACCCGCCTTTCTTGAGGTATTTTCAAGAGCTCATCTCGTCTTCCTAGTGAAATGTAGCATGGGGACAACGTAGCTGGTGACATGAGAACTCAACTTCACTAGCTAGTGCTAGCCTCAATATGGTACTTCATCCCGTAGGAGTCATAAGAAGGATTTGAGTGGACAGATCAAAACTTGTGACCCTGGAGGAGGTATTCCTTTTCCCTGGGCGCTATACCTGAATACTTAGCAGCAGATAAGAAGCGCATTACACCGCAAACCATTCGACTACAAAACAATTCCCACGTGGACTGTGCAATAAATCAGCGACGAATTGTCCTCCTAGTTGTGACAGTATTGTCTTTCAGGCGTCCTGTGACCAAGCACACACCATTCAGGCATTTTTTTCCTGGCAGCGCGCATCGATCTGGTAAGGAGTGATTAATCGATAATCCTCACACTGCAGATCACCTAAACTGTCGGTGATAGGATTGTGTTATTCATGTGACATCTTCTGGCTTAAAACACAGGTTTGTCTGACGAGTTTTTGGGCATCATGTGGACTGTGCGAAATAAAAATAGAACTCCTCACTCCACTGCCAATCTCACGCCACCCATCTTCATATCCAGATACATGTGATCAAATTATGGTCCCGCGAATCGCGGTGATTTAGTGTTTCATATTATTTTAACTTTTGCTGAATGACTGGCTACCATCTGTGCCCTGTAGTCTAGGTTGCATAAGTTTGCATCTTGTTCAGTTCGTTACGTTATTTTTCCCCTGGGTTTTATACGTAACTTTGGTGGTACAGAATTGGAGGATAGATATGTGAGAAGGTCCGATCAACGCTTTGCCGTGTCTTGGCTGATTTCGAGATACTATACTGAGAAAATGGGGGACGGTCTGTTCCGTCTATCTCTTATCCGTTGAGACTGCAGGTTTGTATTATTCCAGTCACGGTTTCCCAATTGTGCTTAGCAGTTTTCATTCCCTTAAATAGCTTATTGTCATCGTTTTAACGCTTACCGAGTGGATGCCGGTATCGGGGTGTTGGATCGGGCAAACGACCGCCGGTCGGCAGCAAACCTGTGGAAGCCAGTTTCGTTATTCACCTTACAGAAAGCGTTCTCTCTCAACAGATTTTGTCCGTCCCACCTCACTTGAATGTATTCCAGAGGCATCACCCTTATGGTGAAAGGTAGAATTGTCGCGGAGCGGTTACAGTTTGTAGAACTTGTTGAACACGGTTCGATCCATTCTGGGACACGATTCTAATGCACACGAACCTGCTTGGTGGTCAGTAAACAGTTGTCTGTATTCGTCAGAAGTGAATGATGTACTGCACAGGCTCACCCATCGTTCTCCATTTCCAACCATTGTTGGCGAAAGGTTCATAGGGGGCAAGCTATGGCATGGCAATAAGAATTGAAGATGGCTGCAGTCAAGCTGAGTACAGTGGGATCTTTCTTCTTTTTTGTCTGAGTCTCCCTGCACGTAGCTGAGGACTGTATGGGACATGGCCTGTGACCGATCCCCGTGACAAAAATGCTTTCACCCCATGGCAAGATTGTCTAGCCAAAGTTTGTGTCGTTGTGTGCAAAGTTTGTATTTGATAAGGTCCGTAAGGGATTCCGGGTCGATCATCATCATCATCATCATCAATGACAGCAACACCAGTGTTGGCACTGATGCTTCACTGCCGGGTCGATACCGCTTCTGAAGCCTTACTCTGAGAGGATGCACACATACATCTGTTTCAGTATTGTTACAAGATCCTTGATCGTTTGACCTTCTTGATCATTTTTCACATAAACACTTTTCCCCGTTCTCAAGGTACCGTTCCCTTGCTGTTCTGTCACTATTGGAGTGTTCCTTTCTCATGATTGTGTGATATTTGATTGCCAGTGTCAATACTGATGTAGTACCGTTGATGATAGTGATGAATTGCAGTGCGTCCAGCTACTCGACCCTTGTGAGTGACAAGTTCTCGTATACCTGTTGCCCTCCTCCAGGTCATGATATGGTAATCGTTCGTTCAGCCAAACTGAAGAGAGGTCATCCACTCCTTCGCACCTCTTGGGTGATGAGTGGTCGGCGTTTGCAGGTTAGGAATTTGTAGCGAACTGGTAGTAAAACTAGAGTTGTGTCAGGAAGAGGTAGAGTGTCTTTCTTATCACTGTACCTTTAATCAGATATCAGCGAGTTCAGTGTATACGATTTTTCCCATAGCCACATTCCTGATGTAAGGAATTTGTTTTATTAAATCGAGGACATTGTTCCTGGGGATGTGCAGCTACTCTGAACGGTCTCTCATCATCCTTCATTTTCTACTACATTCATGTTTCGAGATGACTGTTATCGGCGACCCTACCGTTTTACGGTTTTCGGTTGCTTATGTATTCTTCCCAGAAGCCGGTGATAATTTTTCATGGGAAAGCGGTATTCGGCATCTGCAGTATTTTGGCACTCCAAACGAACTCTATCGCGTTGCTCTGGGTACCTACGACTTGGAATTAGCCCAAGTAATGGCACAACGCACGCAACTCGATCCGAAAGAATACCTGGCTGATCTCAATTATCTTCGATCTATCACCTCATCTGACGGAGGACCTTGGGGCGATACGCAGTCGGAATACAGACTAGCTTATCAACGCTTCAAAATTGACGATCAACTGATGCGTTTTCCGACCGCTTTGAAACATTTGAGAGCATCGGGTAGGCGCTTCGCATGTCTTGTGGTAACGTTTAACCAGTATGATGTATTTTGCTGTCTGGTGAGTTGTTGAGCATGGCGCTTTTTTCACTTCTCGAGTCTCCAGCGCCTAGATGCAACTTTGGTTGCATTGGGTAATTTCACACGATGCTGATTCTCCTTATTGCCACTATGTTTTGGGTAAATGGCACTGCATAAACGCGCTCGCTATACGTGCCTTCGTGTTGAAAGCACTGGGCTTATCCGAACAAAATGAACAGGGCATATATGTGTTCTCTTGGTTCTATTCGTTTACCCGTTCCAACAGGAGACTATCACACCGGATTTGTTTTCCCCAAGGTTTTCTTTCACAACCGGGTTGCTCTTTCTGGGTATTACAATCAGTCTCGTAGTTATGTGACACCCATAAGTCAACCCTTTGCATAGAAGTCAATCCCATGGAGATACTGCTATAACTCTTGTTGTCAGCCCCTCCTAGTCTTAGATTCTTCTCTCAGTTGCTCAGTATCCCCCATCCGTACTTTAGGATTGGATGAGAGTATTATTCTGTTGACTGCATCATAAGAAAAGAATCAATCAGTCCCTTTCTGTAATGTAGAAGTAGAGGGCTTGGTGCGGCCCCACACTACCATTCTGATCAAATCATACAGCACTTTCTGTCGTGTATCGCGTGGTGTTCGTTTGTTGTCCGTAATATCCCAAATTCGTTCTGAATGACTGTTTTCCATGATCTTTTGTCCATCTGCGCTGTGGTTTTCGCATGTCCTCGTTTGGAATTGCCATGGTACCAGTGTCACGATACCATCAAAGACACAGGCGGAATCTAGGTGCCTATGGTGACTCTCCTAATCCGCATATATTTATTTAGTCGCGATCTGTTCCGTCTGTGTTGACTGTGGACTTGTTTCGTAAATATTTCCTCCAGGTTAACAGTCTCGGAAGTTGTCGAACGGTTCGTTGGCAAAGTTTTATGGTACTGCCGAGGAGAAAAGACTGACACGTGAAATATTCACTGCGATATCGAATTGTGGTAGATGCTTAAGCGATTCCTAGGTGATTCTTTATTTACTGTCATTCTTCAGCTGTCAGTTACTTGCTGTGCGTTCTGTATTGCGCTACCGAACAAGCTAGAATCATCTAAGAAGTGATTTTACGTCTTGACTGATATTAACAACGATGGACCCTATTCAGGAGGTGTTTCTTATTCCTAAGAAACCACTGTTACCATCAAGATCAAGCCTTCCTATAGTAGTTTTGTCGACGATATTATTTAGTAACTGATTGATTTTGTTTTATTCCTCCCATTTCCGATCCACAGGTCCACAGCATTCAGGGAACCTCATTTCCTATGTGGAGAAACACAAGCTCTATGAGAACGCACTGGAATTGTTCAATGATAATGACGCTGAATTCAAAGTAAGCGAATGACTGTTTTGGGAATGACTGGCTGACGACTCCGTTCATTTTGTCTTAGCGGTTTTCGACTGAGTAGAGTAACAATCCTCTAACCTGTGTATTTCGACCTTCGACCTCCTAGCGGTGTTCCTGTACGAGTTAGGTGAAGACTGAAACTTGGTCTACTGGCAGGCTCATAGTTCGAACATAATCCCAGTTTTATCTTGTTTCTTCAGTCGCCGCAGGGATATGTCAGCTCTCTTACTCTTTGCAGTTTGATATGGAAGGGAGCGCACGTGCTAACACAAGATTTTTCGGATGCCTTTTCAATTTTGCATATTTAGTTCATGTACAATGCCAACTGATATTTTCACTGCCACCTTAACGTAAACGTATGGTCTGTAAAGGGGTTGAGTAAACACAATGACAAATCAACTTAGCGTCTTTCAACTTCCTCAACGTTGGACGGCCTATCCTATGTGCTACTTGCGTTTGTTTATACGTATAATTTAACCCCAAAATAACGCACCCAAATATTTATCCCTCGAGTGCTTGCTTGACTTCTTCTAATTTTTAACGATAACGCAGGAACAGGAAGCTATCTGTATTTCATCAGCGCTTGTCATCGCCGTTCTGAACTATACTGATTGTGCTTATCACCTTCCCTGATTCATGCCCAACGCAACTTTTGCACTAGGCCATAGGTGCTGTCCGTTATCAACAGAGTTTCGGGGTTTTTGGGTTCGCTTTCAGACGTGAGGTTATCATCTATTGATGTTCTGACAGTACCAGTCGTGGTTTTTTGGTAAGCATTGATGAGCACTCGTACTTATCTCACCTCACCTCGAGACGACTTCGGTCTTTTGGATTTTTTTATTGCTACTCCCCCCTTCCACCCCTCCAGAAAACACCAGCTGTAGTGCCCGACCAAAGGACATCTCTTGAAAGGTGCTTATTATTTCTTGACACACTGTAACCTCGAGAAGACCAACTCCGCTCGCGGTGGTGTCACAGCGATCTTATTAGTCAACCTTCGTCTTATACAAAGCTGCTTGGTGCGAGTGAGTAGCTCAAGCGCTAGAACTGGGGCAACAGTACATCATTATGTTCTGTTGTTTTATCTGTGGATGATGAATTTTACCGACTTCTTTCCCCTCAGTGTTTGTGTGAATAGTATTCGTTCAATTCGCCAGAATTTTCAGAGTGGAACCTACCACAACACATTTCGTGCACAATGGAGATTATTGTGGAGTCTAAGAACACTTTATTTTGATTACAGAAAAACTAATCTCCGCATTCTCCATCGTGTTCAATGATTATCGTATGAAGATACAGTTATTCGTGTTGCAAGATGCAAAATCTTGCAAACCAAATATAACGAAGGAAGAACCATCCCTCGGCGGTTTCAAATTTCCTAAAGTTGTTCCCTGTCGGTGGAGGGTTAATTGTTTTCTTTCACCTGTAGGAATTTGACGTCATTAATGATGCTTCCACCTCAACCAACATTTTTTTTCTGACACCAGACGTGGAGTGTGGTTCGAGGCAATTTGTCCTTTGCAGCAGTTATGTGATTCACTGTCGGTTTTAGTTTCATTCATTAGATATGCCGTTGCATCCGTGTTTTGCTTTATTGTAGATCATCAGTCGTTCTTGGGCCAGTCACTTATTGACCGGGCAGAAATTGCTGTACGCCGGTCAAGTATACTTGCGTGCTGGCCTATACGCGTTAGCGGCGCGTGCATTCCTTTCTGCAGTACAACCATATTTGTGGTCTATATCTGCAACTGAGGCTCATCATCAACATGAATCCGGCAGTAACCAGGAGGACAGTGATGCGGTAATGTCCGAGCAGGATATCCGTGATCAGGCACTGAAAATGACGGGTAAATGTCCAGTTACTATCACCGTTTGCTTAGTTATTAGGAAATTGTGTGAATCTCCAGCTGCTAGAATTAGCGCTATTTTAAGTTTAGAAGGCAAGTGTATTGTTACTTATGGATATCTTAAACAGCGGGCTTTTTGAGGGTCTGAACGAGGACCACGCAGAGTTCAGGGAGTTCAGGGTCTGGATCTCAGAAGTGGGCCACTTTGTCGGCAACATCGTCATCTCCTACAAGTTTACTTTTCACATTGATGTGTGAACATTCTGCGCCCGTCCGCACACACATTTTTCGGTGCTATACGACCCAACTGAGAACAACGGTGTCTATCCTGGTTGAGTACCCAGAGATTGACCGAGTAGCTATGGGAAGCCATAAGCTTCTGGACGTGTATTTGGACAGCTGGGATTCGAGTACCTCATCGGCGCCGTATAATTAACTATCGTCCTGTAAATGGGTTTCAGTGGCATTGGCTCTACCGGATCGTATCTATTCGTTCATACTACATGTGCTTTAACTGCACATTTTCAGCACCGCTGTTTACTTGTGACTTTGGTATATCTATTCTACAGCTCGCCTGAAGGACTTGGGTCGCCACCAGGAAGCAATTCATCTGTGCGTAGACATTTTGAAGGTAGGATATATCGTGTTAACCACTGTTTGTAAGCAGGTTTTATCTTCTGTTTCCTACTTTCGAATTTTCTCCCTCGGTATGACGTTCATCAATCGCCACAACGCACCTCTTGAACCACATCGGATCATTTATCACGTCACCATCATTTCAATTAACTACACAGTCAGGGTGCCAAATTCGTAAATACTGTGCATACCTTCTGTGTGATGTACCTTACTATGTTCGAACTTTCCAGTCTCATGATACACATCAGTCGGTTTCGTGGGCTAACCGTCACGCGATGCCGGTTCCATCCACGACTGCGTCACTGGGGAGTGGTGCGAGAACGATCCTGTTCTCAGAACTGATTTTGTTGTAATATTGTCCATGTATGCCATGCATACTCACGCCTCTTCCTACGTGCATGGTTCCAATCCCCGTTTTCTCTCAGGGAACGTTTTGATTCCAATTTGAAAAAAAAACTACGGAGCACTGATCGCTCTCACATCAGTCAGTATCTCTCAGGGACGTTTTGATTCCAATTTGAAAAAAAAAAACTACGGAGCACTGATCGCTCTCACATCAGTCAGTAAATTTGAATATGGAAATCAGACTTTTAGTACATGACTTTTGCCGATGACCCGTTACGTGACAACGCTCCCCAAACCTATCGTTCAGCTGTTTCTTACATATATTGCATCCTCGTTTGTTGGCGATCCGCTGGACTGCTTCAATCATCCCGCGTTGGTTAAAATTCAGACCGTTTGCTGTTTCATACAAACACGTACTGTATGGTTCACTCTGATGCACACACCAAGTGCTAACTAAAATCGATACAGATACGGTATACATTGCGTGGATCTCGGTTACCGGTGAATTTCCGTTTAAAGCCGTATCCAATATTTCGGATAGATTATGATCCCGCTGTATCTTACATGGTCGCGCGTGTGTCTTACAGGTCTAACCACCGTATGCTGCCTTGGCCCGTACTCATCTGCTCCCGGATGGTTTTCATTTTCTGTTTTTCGCATTTTATTTGACTTTACGGACAGAATCCGGATACAGCTATTCTAACCGCACTGGAGGGTGGACTGTGGCTGGAGGCTCGCCGTTTGGTAAGTGTTTCATATCTAAGCATTCTTGGCGTTTGTGTATGTAGATGTGTATGTACCACTCCGTGATAGGGAGGTCTTAGTAAAGCGCATGAGGCTAACAAGTGCGATTTGAACATATTGTCTTATTTCCATCCTATTCAATAAAAGAGTGAGCATGGTCGGAGTTAAGCGATTAAACTAGTTCTGGGATCGTGTTTCGCGGAAACCTGTTTCCCTGAAGATCATGCTATCTTGTGTCATAGGCAACCAACTCAACCTCCCTTTGGTCTATATATACTACCCGATACTGCCACTGAACTTGTCACCTAACAATGAATTTGGCAATAGCTTGCTGTCGTAAACCACGCAAGACGCTTTTACGGAACCATCTTGACCCTGGTCAATGATGTGAAAACGTTGGACTGGGCCAAACCGGCCGTTCGTTCATAATGCATGGTTACAGTGTCAAAAACACCTGACATGTGACTCATTGGTAAGAAAAATAGCCCACTAATCTCCATGGATCATCAGAATTTGATGACTGTCGTTTGGCGGTGAACAGCGAACCTCATCACAAACCAAGGAGGGCGATAGTGCCACTTCAGTCGATAACCGACGATCCGGTTTCTGGACTGCTACACACCAGGTTAACTCAACCAGCTTAGCACCAACTCACGTTGCAATGAAGATCATACACTGAAGAATCATGTCTCTCGCTGCGCACATCAAAGCATCCTGTCTTGAAAAATAATCAGGCGACCACCAGTACGAGGCAACGCCGGCATCGATGGCGGATATTATTAGAATACCGTCGTCGCCGGCGGTCTTCTGCTACCTGATACGTAGCGCCTAATGAAAATACCTATGGTTGCAAACTGCCGGGGGAAATCACGCAACGCGTGGGACATTCCCGTAAAGTGCTCAAACATTTAGGCATTACTGTATTGTCGTTAACCACATTTAACAACCACAGGCCTTTACCTGCGCTCCTCTTTTCAAAGAAATTATAATGACCACCCATTCCGTGAATACCGGTTAACCCTCAGACAAGGTTTATATCCCTGCTGAAATCTGTGTGGTATGTACCACAATGTGCCACGTGTTTTACTCAGTTTGAAAGTCGTAATACAACGGTTTATCTGCCATCCCCGTAGTGATGCCACAATACTGTCCAAGAGGATGTTTATGGTATCAGTGTATTACATTTCGTTGCACAGATTTTCTCGCTCTTAATAAACCGCTTAACCGATAGACCTTTGCGGCTTCACCCTAATCGAGCGGATCATTTCCTCGTAGGAGTTGAGTTGAACAGATATGCATTTTGTGACGACAGCTGTAATATCATATCGTATTGTCATGCTACCAGCCAACAGCGCCATGTTTTATGGACAGTTGAAACAGTTTTAAAACACCTGACCCAATAGGGCACAGTTCACTGTGGAGCATAACGCGACGACGGGACTTCAAAAAATTCTTGATTAGATCGTAAAACCCTGCTAATCAAGCGCGAATCTGTGTACGGTGAAAATTCTGACGATTTGATTATACTAACCAGATTGCTACGGATATACTTGCTGTTTCCTGTCCTTTTTTCAACCCAATCGTTGAGTGGATAATGGTACAAGGAACTATCACGGAGTGCAGCAAAGCCACAGCGTAAGGATACCAAACATTGATTATACTTTTTGGTGTAGAAACGAAGTCACTTTCCAAGCCAATGTTCAAGCCTACCAAGCTGCTGTTCTTGGTATTCCACTATATGGATGCTAGGCCTGGCCCTAACCGGTCGGAGATGTCCGGCAGCGTAAATGTGATAACTTGTATGTGAGAATGCTTATATACTATCCAACTATGATGCCAGTCATCATTGTTTCAGAATAATAAGTTTCCGCATTTCATTGATGAATTTTCTTCTTAGCAGACCAGGCAATGATTCGTTCCCCTAGTCCACTGCTCAGTTCGACGCTGTCGTGCATGTGGCTAGCTAAAAGTGTGACTCAACACCAATAAATCTGGGGCTTCAGGCCGTTCTTGGTGTTCCTCGTTAGAAATAGTACTTGATCAAAGTGTGCACCAATCACCGCCCGTGGGAAGCTACGGTCTGCCGAAGTCCATAGAGTTCATCCTAACACAACTGTTAGTCAAAGTAACATAATTAACTACGGGCAGTCACCATGGAGCTCAAGAGAGCTGGAAGTTAAGACTCGTCAGCCTGAAATGAGGGTTTGTATTTTGTTTGTGACCAGATGGATCCTATATCTGCGGAATATGCCTTGATCTACAGTGAACAATTCCTCGGTGTTTGTCGAAGATCCGATATCCAAACTCGTGGTGCCTTTCGGGTGACGTCAATTGTCTGCAACCATATTGATTTTAGCCGTCTGTAGCAATTCTCTATCCATCAAGGTATTCTGTCAGTGAATCCGCCTATACCCAGCTTCGTAACTATTCTGATTCAAATTGAGCTTGACTCCGTGCGAAGACTTTGCTTTGTTCTGGTAGAGCAGCATATCATTATGTGTTTATGCATATTTCAGGCGTACTCACTGAGACGATGGGAAACTGTCTCGCCCTTTTTCACCTCATTGATGCTGTTTAAGCTAGATTCTAAATAACCGGGCAGTGACTTCTCTATAATTAACGTTTCACTTTCTGGATGCATTAAACTACCGTACCACGACAGTTGGTATGCAAGGAGGCGTTTGGTTATCCACGCGGCTCTTAATAGCCGTTCAGCTTTAGAAAGCCATCTCTTCTTTTTCTCAACTCTTTCCTGACCAACACGTCTCCGAATTAGCGTAGCTTTCAGCTAGATGTATTCTCAAACTAACGAATCTTTTTCACCTGTTATACAGGCTTCCACCTACACTCGACCGGAAGTATTGAAGAAATGGCTGAAACCAAAGCTAAGCGAATCATCCTCAATGCTTTTAGAACGCATCGAGAAATCTCATGCTGAATTCTCGGAGTTTTTCGAACGGTTGACTCAGTTGCGTCGTCGACATGCGGACGAAGCTGAGTGCCGACGGATCGCTCAGTTGCATGGCAATCTGGATTCTGCAAGTAGGTTTTCCGTTTCACATTCCCTAGTTAATGAAAAGCATCACCCAGAATCCGCGGACAATACTAGCCGTCAGCCTGGCACCTCACAAGAGTAGCTCATTTTCTAGCGTTTCCTATGAAATCGAAAATTGGCAGATGGTTTTCTTGAGTTACTTGACTACATGATCAGGTTCATTTCCTCGTTCATTTCTCGTACATTTTGCTTAGTTGTTAGGTCACATAAAGTAGCACTGTCAACTCCAGCCAAAGTATTTGGCAGAAGAGGCCAGTCCTTGCGGACTTTGCGGTCCTACATGGACCACGATGAGTCTCCAATAGCAGAAGACAATGCCATGACACTTGGATTTATATACTATCACTTCCACGTTTCGAATACACCTGTGTGTAGATGTCATTATTTTCATCACTGCTGCTACTTTCTTGATCTGTCACAATATGTTAGCAATACGACTCCGGCTATCTGCTCATGTCAGTATTATCATGTGAGTTTGCACCTGTTTTTCGGCTGTGACAGTTAAGTGCTAAGTACGGATACCATCGCTGTGGATAGATTCGGCTGAATGTTGACATCAATTAAAGCCGGCTAAGTGACTATTGAAATGAAAATTCGAGGTTCACATAGCGCAAATGAAAATTCGTACCTGGAGACGGACTGGAACCGCCGAACTCCCGCTTTCTTGATGGATGTTGTACTTTCTCAGCAACTGAAGACGTTCGCCCTCTGTCAAACCTATGCACCTGACATCCATAGCTGATTCGCTACACTTCTACCTGGTGGCACTGATAGAAATTAACTCCTGATCCGCTAGGTAGAAGTTTGGCGAATCAGCTGTGAGATTCAGAGGTATAGGCGTCACGGAGGGTGTGCCCTCGGCAACTCAATTGATAGAGCACCCGTTGGGTGAGCGGAAATTCGGTGATTCGAGTCCGTCCCAAGGTGTGAATTTTGGGTTGTTACTCGCACCCATACTTCTCACTTCGAGATCCATCATATCCTTTTCTGCTTTCTAATAATTGTCTTTTGATCCTGTGACCTAAGAGCTACCTTGTAGCGATTGCCAACTAGAATTGCAGTGGTTATATTGGGTGCCCATCAAGTCAACGGAAAGATAGGTTAAAAAAACTGATTCCCCAAGGTTGCTGAGAATACGATAAGCGCCCGTAAGCTGTTTCATGCTCATGCCGTGTTTTTCACAAATCTCCACGCAAGTTTGAGTACGAATTTTATAGCGTACTATGTGAACAACACCTTTAAGCCATGGATGTCCGGTCAGAAGAGATAAGCGATGCAACTAGCGCCTACGAACCCTGTGAAATTTTGTGAAATGTAACTGAATTCGGAAAAGCTCGTCTTCACAAACAGCAAACATATGCTCACGTGTTCGCACGCCCGCCAACTAGCTTGGGCAGCTGGTTAACTCATTTTTGATAGGTTTCTAGGTGCAATACACTAATGGCTGTATCAGAAGTGTCTGACCACTATCAAATAGTCATTGTTTACCAATCAGCCTCCGGATGGATTTTGTGTATGTCCGTGCAACGAACCGAATGACGGTGGACCACATAAGCTGGTCGAGCTTTTTTGATGCCAGGCCACACAAGTCTTATAAACATTCGGTTAAATATGATGCTCGTGGTTTAGTTGCTATCGCACCCACTGTGAGAATCAATAGCTAGGTGAACATTTCGACTATTCAAAAGTGGTTCTAATAATGACTACACGGTTGCACAGCGAATTCACCCCTAACTAGACAGCTCATAGTGAGTATGAGATCCGGAAGTTCTTCATCCCAAGATGTCCGGGTCCAGGCCGCCCCAAATAACCGAACATCACATCAATTTGACGGATGTGTCACGTGCTTCTACGGACCAAACGAAGACGCCCTGATTGGTCAGAATGCTAGTCTATTTGGGTCGAGCATCTTTGGCTCGACGCTTCTCGTCCCCTCACAGAGATTCTAGCGCGACCATTCTGTGACTACCGTATAAATACAGTTGTAATAATCTTCCTTCATCTCTATAAAGGGCTATATGAAGCTACCGTGCCATTGTGGGCGGGGCAGGAAGCCAAGAACCGACAAATAGTTGCACGACCGTTCAGCAAGTCACATCCGTCTTCTTCCACAAATGCTGCTGCCAACTTGATTATTGAATTCAATTTCGACGCTGAACCTGGACGAACTTTCGAAAGTTGGTTCAAGAAATGAGGGCATGTTTCAAACCGACTTTGCTCAGTTTGATGATGCATGGAAAGTTCGACTGCTGCTGCGGAACACGATCGGTTCACAAATTGCATACTCCCCAAACTCCCTCTTGACCTTGGCTTCGCAGATACTGTCGTAATCCTGGCCCAAATATTCGGTGAGCAAAGTTCCTTGTTCAACATTCGTTATCAGTGTCGCAAGATTACCAAAGGGATACTGAAGATTTCATCACTTATGCCGGTGTGGTCAACAGAGAACGCGAGTGCTTTCAACTCTGCACGATGACCGAGGATCAATTCAAGTGTCTCATCTTCGTGGCTGATCTTCAATTACCACATAATGCGGATATTCGGACCCGGCTACTAAATCGTATTGAACAGGATCCAGAGTTGACCCTTCAGAAACTTACCACCGAATGCCAGCATCTTACCAATCTCAAGACTGGTGCTGCAATGATTGGACATTACAAGTTCTCTTAGCCTGATGTCGTATGCAAGATAACTTCCAAAAAGCCATCAAATTCTAAACGAACTCCAAGAAAGCAGCCCACACCCTGTTGGTTTTGTGAAGAATGGCATTGTTCACGCCATTGTCCCTACCGCAACCACAAGTGCAGCAAGCGCATTCGAAAAGATCACAGAGAAGAATGCAAGCTTCAGGAGCTTGCGCGTACACCGACCTGACAAAAGGGCGCAGGCGGGGGCCATGACCGCCACATTCAGGATGAATTCACCCGGTCGAAGTAAATTCGTCCCAGTATGTATCAATGGCACACCGGTTACCCTCCAGCTTGATACAGGTTCTAAGCGAACCTGGGACATATTTGGAAGGCCACCGGTGGAACACACAAAGTGCACCGTTCCTAATGCGTCTGGTGGAAGCTGAACTGCTCCGTAACGTTCAACGAGATTCAACTCAATGGTACTTGCTACCTAACGAACTATACAGGTCTTGATGCCTGAATGGGACTTATACTTGCTATACAGGTCTTGATGCCTGAATGGGACTAATGAGCTTCAAATCTTGGACCAACTCTTCAATGCCGTTTGTAACGAAACAGCTGCAGATGGCTGCAATGCATTCACGAGAACGCCAAATCCTGACGATTTTTTGGTCGTCACAGTTACAGTCAAACCGGAGGAGCATACGCGACACACGCCAAAACAGCTACACAGAAGCCAGGTACTTATTCGAGGATATGGGGAGTGCTCTCCACGCTAGACGCAGGGTCGAACACTACGTCAAACACGAGGCGCAAACCAGATCATAAGCGCGGCCACGTCAAGGGAACCAACTTCTGACAGACTGCGGCTCCGTGAAGGAACCTCGTCGAATGGAACACTAGACAGCCGTGATATACCTCCGAAGTGGAGGGCACAATATCCTAGATCGGCATGCCCACAGCCCCAGGGACGGACCGACGTGCGATGGCACTTCCATGAGTCGCCACAGTTAAGTTTAAAGCCCTGGCTGCTTGAACGGCTTCCCCAAGGGGAGGTATCCGGAGACCAGCCGCCCCTAGTAACCGAACAGAACGTTGAAAGGATGTTACGTGAGGGCTACGGACCAAACGGAGGTATGTCCTGATTGGTCAGAATGCCAGCTAATCTGGATCGAGCATCTTTAGCTCGACGCTTCTCGTCCCTTCACAGAGATTCTACCACGACCTTGTGGAACACTGCGATTACCATATAGCTGTAATAATCTTTCTTTTTCTCCATAAGTTACCGTGCCTCTTGATATGCCATTGTGGGTGGACAGGAAGCTAAGGACCGACACGAAGCTACAACCGTTCATCAAGTCGCAACACAAGAGTTATTTGAAACGGGGAAGCAAAAGTAAGATATGCTTGGTGCCACATGACCGCAATAAGTGTCTACCTGTTCTGCAATCATGTTTTTCCTTTGAAGGAAAGTTTTTCACAAGCTTTTTGGAATACTGGAAGATCAGTCAGGCCAATATACACAGAAGAAACCTCTGAGATAGATAAACGAACCCTTTGTTGTCACAGTTTATCGGACATTCCCCACAAGATCCACATCCATACCTATTCACACTGGACATGACTGACTTGGTCCTTGAGGGAACTCGTTAGTCAGTCAGGATGGATGGAACTCATTGTCCGTAGACACTAACTGTCTATATGTTTCCAGCTGGTTTACTAGCTACGTGATAGATAAAATAGTCGATAAGCTGTAACCAACGTTGTCCTCAATATTGTGGTCTTTATTAAGTCCGTCTGTTTGATGTCGACTAGTTCCTTACTTTATGAGGCGACTTTCTCTATCGTGGTTCTCTTTTGTTTTAGTGGACTCGGCCACTGAAAGTGACATGTTCTCCGATACAAGCAGTCTTTCTGATACCACTACGTCCGAATCCTTCGGAGGCCTAAGTATCCGATCGAATTCTACAAAAATATCCGGGTAGGTTTCACAGTCATTGGTGATGTTTCAGTCGTTTCCCTCCCGTGACACCCTAGGTCTCATCCAGGCTAACAATATGGGTATCATGTGGGAAAGTGCGTGCGCAGGAACCATGGGGCTTATCAATTACGGCAAGCGCGAACTGTGCTTAAAATCCAGCAGTGACCAATACCTAACGGAAACACTTCCTACTACGAAACTATGCTATTCTTTCCAAAGCAACAGGGTTTATGGCTGTAAGTGCTGCAGTAAGGCTACAGAGTGCTGCGGCTTGAAATTCGTTACTAATATGTCGGCCTACATTTAAGGAGTGAGACTAATGGTTATAGTGAACCTGAGCCTATGTGTATGACTACCTCAGGTTCAGCTTTCCAGACAGAGCAAATTTTTCGCGAATGTTCATGTACTCTCCATCCGACTGATCTCTGCTAGACTCCTGAAACACTGCTTCCTGGGTTAGGTATCACTGTTCTGGAGCTCGTCTCCTAGTCTTCACACATAAGCAGTCTTGAAGTATTCCGTTGCAGGACAGTCGACTTTCGCCAGTGAGCTGGATTGCATTTGATCCCTTGGCTTTATTGTGGTTGAACCCTCGAGTTGCAATTCATTTACGATGTGCCTTTTAGACCGTTTCCTGGTACTTTGATCGCTTATTAGCCTCTTTAGGCATACAATACACAATGATGATTGTTCGCCAAACCATGTGCACATTTTCTGCTTTATCTTAAGTTGTGCATGCTATTGAGTTTCAGGGTATCTGGATCTATGGTAGTACCGATGTCATCGAAAAGGCTGAGTACCACGTGGGCTGTTTTATTAAAAAGACGACGGTATTCAGAACAAAGCCTAAAGATTCCGACGCTCCGGTTACCACGGTTACTGAATAACGAAGTGAGGGAAACGGACTGACTCAACACAACACCACTGTAGCCGTGTTTGGGGTCCTACATGTGTGTTTCAGTTTGAGATAGACTGGATGGCTCCGTGTCTTGCTGTGTTTCTTGGATTTGTGTGTGTATACGTGCTTGATCAGGGTCCTTTGTTTGTCCTCAATCCCTCTACGTGTGAAACCAGCCTAACAGGTGAGTGGTATGTGGCAGGTTGGATATGTCTCCGCCCGCGGTCACCCTCCATGTGATCTAATGCTCGACTATAAAATGGGAGCACGTTCAAAATCATTTACGTATTGAGGTGTGGTGCAAAGACTAGGACATGGTTTCTCACTTCGGTTGTAGTACCTCGTGGGAATTGCGCGTTCAACGATCCTCGTTCGGCTCTGAGACTCAACGAGTAGCGTAGTAGCATGAATTTCACCATGAAGACCGAGAGTGAACATAGAACTGAGGGCCCGTACACTATTAGCCAACAGCTAATGAGAATCATGCATGTACGGTTCGTATATTATATTGCTCGATACGGACAGCCGAATTCCTGCATTGCGATTCCACTCATTCGCACCAGCTGTCGTAGATAAAATCCAAAAACCAAATATAATAATAATCGTACAGCTGTAACACCCTCTCTGTCCAGCTGCGATTTCGCGCGATGGAATCACGAGGCCGGAGATACTGTCAGGTTGTCAAAACCTGGATAGGAACAGTCAAGACGCCCGTGGTGGCATTAAACGCAAACGCAAAATTGCCAATAGATATCATGCGGCGGTCGGTGGACATACTGTACAAGAGTGGGCCTTCTGACGCTATATGGTAAATTCTAAGGGGCAGTGAAGTTGGTACCTTATCCTTAACAGGCAACACAACCCAACTTCACCTAATTAGAAACAAGGATCCTCTGGAACCAGAAAGCTGCACTAATTGAGATCAAGAATATATATTGTTCCGACCGTTAGTTCCGGTAAACATCCAGATATCTCAGGATGAGGATCGTCAACCGCAGGTGGTGTCATTCCCACCAGACAATGCATCTGAAAACTAGAGAGAATCGGCCACTGGACTGCACGCCCTAATGGAGAATTATGCAGCCAACATTCGAACTCGTTCACTTCGTTTAATCTGGCCTCGGATCACTTGAAGACTATTCGCTGGAGTACTTGAACTCAATGTACACCCAACTTGTGTCAACCGCAGGGAGCATAGGGTTGACATCACACAGGATCTTGACAAAGTGTACACAAATTAAGTTAGCGGACACCCACTTAATCCCAAACCGAGATCCTTACACGATGGCGCTACTCCAAGCTCAGCTGCGATCCACTAGGACAAGGTACCAATCGGGTTGGTCGTTGATTCAGTCCGTTTGCATCCTTGATTCCGTTCATTTTGAGTGCATTATTATTCAAGTAAGTCCATTTGTAGTAATTGTAACGTTCATATCTCTAATTTCTTCATATATTGACCAAAAACTTTACCACCATTTGAAACCTCTAATTGTTATGTCCCCATGAAATGAAATCTGCTCAACTTCCCTGCGGATGGCTTCGCTTGAGTACTATTTTCGCTCATCTGCGAATCGTTCAATCTTAATGTATCTTTGCCCTTTTAGGCGCTCCGCAAAGAATCGCCGAAAACAGGAATCGCGAAAATGGTCTTCTAAACCTGGAAGTAAATATGAGGAGGTTGGGCTTTTGAGAGAGTTGTCCAAATCAGTAGAACTAGTTCAGCGGCTTGCGGGTAAGTCGTTACTCAGTAGATTACATGAAAAACGCTTTTAAAGCATGTATGTTTAACCAGTTGGGTGCATTTAACCGAAGGGCGAAAGCCCTCAGCAAGGGCTATACTTTTTGCTGTCGATCATCGATGAGTACGCCTGTTGGAAACAGTTTTATAGCTGATGAACTGCATTGTTGTTCCGTAATTCTTTTTGGCGGAGATAGCTCGTGGGTGAATTTGGTTTTGTGTTACGTTGGCAGCAGTTCGATCCATTGGGACCGAATGCATCTGATATAAGCATTCTGCAGTGGAAGCCAAATGAACTCGAAAATACTTTGCCGTTGAACCTAAGGCAATCATCATCATCATCATCAATGACAGCAACATCAGTGTTGGCACTGATGCTTCACTGC